CTTAAAGAAGCTTTCCTGGAGAGTTTTTGACTTGTTTGCTAGAGACAATTGTTATGCACTAGAAGCAAGTAGGGAAAGACTTATTTGCAAGTTTATTATGGTATATTTGTCTTTTCTTCAAGAGGTTTGGTATAATGGATATCCCTCCCTCCCTCCCTTTTTTAAAAACTTTAAAGTTACCCAAAGGGCCATGTAATTCATTTGTGTTTTGAATTCAGGGCTCCCTCATCCAGCGTTCTTAATTGTGTTATGTTGACTCCCTGTACCAGACCTTGCCAACCATCAGTTTCATCTCCTAAAATTAAATCTGTATAATCTGGCAGAGGTGATGTTCTTGTATCAGTAGTTTGCACATTAGATTAATTCTGTATAAGCAAAAGCACAGTGATTATTATTTAAATGAACAATGACATCTGAAATAGAGTCTTGTTGTAAAGCAGAGGTTCTTAGCTAGGGGTCATGGATCCATTGGGGGTCCAGAGATGGATTTCAGGAGGTCTGTGAACTTGGATGGGAAAAAAATACATTTGATTTTCCCTACTCTCCAACTGAAATTTACAGTTTAATTTAATTTTTTTGTTATTCATTTAATGGATTAATAAAGAACCACATATATTACCATATTGCATAGTTGTTATTTTTTAATATTTTGATAACTGTATTTAAGCATACTATAATTGGTTTCATTTGTAATACAAACTATATGTATTTTATTTTATGCATTTAAACACATTTTTTTCTGAGAAGGGGCCCGTAGTTTTCACCAGACTCTGAAAGGGATCCATGGCACAAGTTGGTTAACAACCCCTGCTTTAAAGGGAGTACACTGTGAGAATTGAGGCTATAAAGCTATAATTTGAGGTCTAGGAAGCATGCATTTGTCTCTTTACAATGGATTAGTGTGAGTTGGACAATGCAACACAAAATTTACTCCTGACAAGGCACTCCTAATATTCTCTTTCCCCACTTTTTTTTCAAGATCTAAACATGGAATTTAACCCCTCAGACCATCCACGAGCCAGCACAATATTCCTCAGCAAATCTCAAACTGATGGTAAGTAACCAGCTTTAAACTATGGTTGGAAGAAAGACTGGTACTGAAACAATTAAACTACAAAGTTGTTGCTCCTCTGAGCCATTTTAAGATTATGTAGAAATTAGGAGACAAGCATACCCGCTATTCTTTGACAAAAAATAATTTCATCTCTGTATTTTTGGGGGGCAGTTATTTAGTGAAAACACTTGAAACTCCTGCTCTGTTTCATCCCTGTTCTGTTTCAGAAAAGCACTGAAAATCTGGGTTTTGGAATACGTGTTTTGTGAATCCCACTGCACGATGACTGATGAGGGGTGGGTGAAACTGTTATAGGTAATTCCAGTGCCATTTAATTTTGGGACGTTTTGCTTTTGGATGGCTTGTTTTTATTGAGTTTTTAATATAAGCTAACTTGAGATCTTTTAGTTTTTCCAGTTTACTGGTCATGTAAGTCTCATGAATGATGATGATGATAATTTTTTAAAAATCAAGGTACCATTGGCTCATATTGTTGTGTTTCCAGCATCAACAATGACATTGTACAAGATCTAAAACAACATAATTCAGATATTAGAAATTATAATATTCAAACCCTAGTGGGGAAATACTTCAACATCATTGTTGCCCTTAAAAAATGAGGTAATTTTCCCCATATTCCCTATGAAATAGCTGAGCTATAAAATTCTCTGGAGAAAAGAAAGGGTCATACTACATTGATTCAGTTAGCTTCCCAGTGGTATTATCCAAATCAGTGTTTCATCAATAGGACAGCTATTGCTGTCTGTGTTTTGTAAACAGTATTTCATTTCCCTCTAATTTTATTGTTGACTGAGATGGTAGGAATGCTTCCAACTCAAGGTAATGTTTCATGCATCTGCTGAAGTAGGGGCTAAATCCTCAAAAGCTCATGGCGTGAAACATTTAGAAGCCCTTAAATTAACTCAACATCTTTTTGATTTTTATTGTGAGAGATGAATATGTCTACTATTTTGGACATCCTACACATCATTATGGTGGGAGACTGCATGAATTATTTTCATTTCATTGTTAGAAGAATTGGAAAGTGAATATTGTGTGTGTGTGTGTGTGTGTGCTGTTGATCATAATTTTTAAGTGCAATATCAGAATGGAAAAAAGGGCTATTAATTAGTATGCTTGATGTAATTAAATAGGCAAAGTTTCCAGTTTACCTATTGCTGTTTTGTAACTGATTAACATGGAGAGCCAGTTTGGTGCAGGGGTTAAGGCACCTGGCTAGAAACCAGGAGACTGTGTGTTCTACTCCCGTCTTAGGCACAAAGCCAGCTGGGTGACCTTGGGCCAGTCCCTCTCTCTCAGCCCCAGGAAGAAGGCAATGGCAAACCACTTCCGAAACCTTGCCAAGAAAACTGCAGGGGTTAGCCAGGCAGTCTCCAGGAGTCACAATGACTCGAAGGCACAAAAACAAAACAGAACAAAAACTGATTAACATAGAATCACCATCTACTGTGAGATAAGAGCTCATTATATTTCTTAAAATATTGTGTTGTTACATGCTTAATACAAGTCTGTAAATTTTATAAGAACCAAAACCAAAAGTATGATAGCCTGCTGTACTAAGTGAATTACAAATCATTGCATATAAGCTATGTATACAGTTAAGAGCTTAATACAGTGTTGTCCAAACTTGGCCACTTTAAGATGAGTGGACTTCAACTCCCAGAA